GGAATCAGACAGAGCTAGGATTGAATTCTGGTACCAAGTCTACTGCCCTGTGAGCTGGGGAAATTTTTAACCTTTCCGAGCCTTAGTTTGTGTCACTTAAATATGGAAATAATAATTCTTCTTATGTCATAGGTTAATTGTGAATATTAAATTAGACAATCTATTTAAAGAACTTAGCATAGTCTCTGTCATGTATTAAGTACTCAGTAAGCACTAATATTGTTATTAGTTAATAAAATATAAAACTTGAGCTCCTCAAAGCCAGAGAGAAACTTCAATTTCACTGCTACAGACATTTACCAGTGATGGGATTCTAAAATGAGACTGTGGACAATGGAATGGGCCTGAGCCAGGGAGGTCATAAAGATGGGCCAGGTGTACCCAAAAACCAGACAGGACAGACCACAGGGTCTTACGGTCTCAGGCTGGAAGAAACTTCAACCAGACCCTCTGCTATAGATAGTGATAGCCAACCCACGCCAGAACTACACATGCAATGCCCATTTCACAAAGAGAGGTCTCTGATTCCTCTTTGTTTAAAATGTTTAATACATAACATTTTATGTATTAAAGAGGAAAGAAATAAACCAAAGATATTAATAATTTTGTAAAATTAAAAGAGGATGAAGGAAGTAGAAGAGGGTACAGTGGGGATAAATGGTGATGAAAGGAGACTTGACTTGGGACCAGGAAGACAATACAATATACAGGTGATACATTATAGAACTGTGCACCTGAAACCTATACGATTTTATTAACCAATGTCATCCCAATAAATTCAGTTAAAAAGTAAAAAAAATAATTTATAAAGTTAATAAAACAAATCCCACCACTGAGAATTTTTTGGTTAACCACAGTTAAGCTACTGATTGAATTTCTTAGAATGAAATATGGAAACAAATGAAAGCAGTAGTTATGGGTCAACAAGGTAGGTTACAAGGCTCCATTGAAAACAGTATAGTCTGCTTACCAGCTAATCAGATTCCCTTTAATGCTGTGATAAAGAGGTTCACAGCTGAGTAGTAGATGACTTGGGATCAGTCTTTAAATCCACCCTAACCAATGAGATACCCAGAGTATCTCATTTCCTTGGGTATGGACTCTTAATTGTGAATCAGTACCCATAAAGGAAGTAACGAAGCAGAATACATTTAAATGAGAAAAAAAAAAATCAATGACACGTGTTCTCTGGCCATTTTCAGGCTCTTTGGGGGTTTACCCTCCTCTGCTATGCTCAGCCTTTCCCCTGAATATGAGATTTGAAACTCAAATGTCTACACAGGCCAAGCAAGTAACATGATCCAGTGCAGCAGGCTGTTGGCCAACCATGGTGCCCTCGATGGTTCACCCCAATGATTTCCATCTGGGAACCGGGCACATGTTGCCACATATATTTTTCAAGATAAATTTTAAATATAAATTTGTATGTGAAATAATCTGACTTTTAAATACTGGTAACTAATTCACACTTTTAAAAAACAACACTGTATGGGCCAAACACTTTATGTTGGAGGCACCAGTTTGAGGTTTTTCCCATTGGTTTTAGTGTTCCTGGGAGCTCTAACCCTGAGTCATCTTTTCATTCTATTGTCTTTTTCTAGAAAACGTCATCTGCTTCCATGGTTTCAATACCTTCTCTATACTGGAGCGTCCCAAATTTACTGATAGTCATGGCCTCTCCTCTAAACTCCAGACTCTGTATCTAGCTGCCAACTCCACGTCAACTTTGGATTTCTTTCGGGCACCTCAAACATTGCACATGCAAAACTCAGCTCTTGATCTCTCCCTACCTGTTTGGCTTCCAGTTTCTCCAGCTCAGTAAAAAGTGCCTGTATTGCTCAAAAAATCTGGGAGTTACTCTGCTCTCTCTCCTCTCTTTCTGCCCTTGTCTAGTCCATCACTTTTCTGTATATCCTGCTTCTAAAATAGTTGTTCAGGGTGTTCCCTTATCTCCAGTCCTTTTGCCACAGCAAGCCACCGTCCTGTTTTTGTTTTCCACAATAGCTTCCTCTGAATTATCTCCACCCTTTGTCCTACGAGTCTATTCTTCACTTAACCACCAGAGTGATCTTTTAAAATATTAAGTGGATCGCATCACTCTGTTTAAATTCTCTCAATGTCTTGACAATGCATGAAACCCAAGAGAGGAAAGTGTGTCAAGTAGGTATTATACTACCGTGTCAAATGGACCAGGAGGATTTTTTTCATCTGTAAAGCAGGACTAATAATACCTGTGTGGAAGGGTTGCTGTGAGAATTCAATAAAGGCCACTGTTATTTTTGCATTAGTTTAATATTAGCCTTTGCAGGGAAGAAGGTAAAATTTATATTGTTAATAGCTACTTTACACTCACCCACAGAGAACCTTCTAAATGTCTTAGTGACGACATTTTCCTTTGTATGATCATGATCTCAAAGTAAAATGTCTACTTCGATTAAAAAATAAAACCCTGCTTTTAAAAATTATGGAGCAGCCCTGGTCAGTGTTGCTCGGTGGTTGGAGCATCGGCCCACACACCAAAGGGCCGTGGGTTTGATTCCTGGCCAAGGGCACATACCTGGGTTGCAGGTTCAATCCCCAGCCCCGTTGGGACTCATGCAAGAAGCAACCAATCAGTGTGTCTCTCTCACATCGATGTTTCTGTCTCTCTCTCTCTCTGGGCCCCCTTTCACTCTCTCTAAAAATCAATAGAAAAAATATCCTCGGTGAGAATTAACAAAACAAAACAAAAAAATTATGGAGCAGACCAACTTCAATTAAAAACATAGGGCACAGTAAAGAATAATTCCTGATGTCTTCAAATCACTTATTTTAAAATTTTGAAATGGAAAATGATCAGATAATGTGGTTGATGCCAATGCCACATCATAAAAATTAAACCATTGGTTGCAAATCTCTATTTTTATTGATTTGAATTCATCTTTGCCTTGAGCTGTGCAGGACAGTCACTTTCCAAAATAGCATCACGACTTCAGCAGCCCATAGTTTTAGCAGTCCCCATGGCCCTTTTTGCTTTTAATTCACACATTCCAATTTAGAAAACACCATGGTGAAAATGAATCCACGAAATCTGCTTGGGCTGGTGGCTGAAGAGCCAGAAGCGAAGGTGAGAAGCTACCGCGTGCAGGGGCAGTGAGCTCTCTTTCTAGAGCCCTAAGTCAGCGCTTCCTCTGTGCCGCCTTGTTTCGCTAGATCTAGATGAAAGTCACTAGATCTATCACTATGATGAGCTCTTAACTGTACTTCAACGTGAGAAAAATTATATCTGATTATCAGAGCAAAAGTTTTATAACCATCAGCCTTCAATACTGAGACATTTTGTTTGATCTTTTAATTGCATGTTTCTCTTGCAGGATAATTGAACATACAAGATCTTTTGGTTTTATAGCTGCCTTTTACGCAGCTGAGCTCCCCTGACTCCCCTGTTCATACTCCCTAGCTTGACTCTGCATTCCAGGCATATTAAAATATGATCTGATGCCCAGCTAAGGGCTGTCTGTCACCTCCAGACATCTGTATGTGCTATTGCGATGCTTGCAAGATTCTTCCTTCCCATTCATCTGGCTAAAATATGAGTTATCCTGTAGGACTCAGTTTAGTCATTGCACCCTAAGCCTTCTTCTATTCAGCAAATGGTTAAGTAGCCCTCTTACCTGCTCCTGTAACACCAAGTGCGTCTTCCAGCATAGAGCTCATCCCATTGTCTTATAATTGACTAGCTAATGGTCGGCCTACCTACTGGACAGGCATTATCTCACTCTCACCCAAAAAAGGCCATGGGGACTGCTTAGACTACAGGCTGCTGAAGTCCTGGTGCTATTTTGGAAAGTGACTGTCTTGTACAGCTCAAGGCAAAGATGAATTCAAATCAATAAAAATAAAGATTTGCAAAAAATGGTTTAACTTTTATGAAATGACATTTGCATCAACCATATTATCTATCCCTAGCACCCAACACAATCTTTAACACAGAGTGAGGACTCAGTATGTCTTGAGTGAATGAATTATATTTGTGCATTGCAGAATGTTTGGGAGTAAAATTGAAAAAAAATTTTAAGACAATGAATGTAAATCTTAAAACTTGAGACAACACTTATTAGCATTTTTTAGTTTCCTTGCTTCCAGTTAATTTTCTCTGTGAACCTCACTACATAAAAAGCTGTGAGCACTTCTGTGTTCACTTCCCAGTATACTACAAGCATTTCCTTACGTAACTACAGATTCTCTGGAAATGTCACGTAAATGGCTGTAACAAGATTTCCTTTAGAAGTAACATAGTTCGGATATTCTCTATTGTTGGACTTTGTTACATGGAATAAATAATGATTAAATGAATGTTTTTGCATCTCTGATTATTTCTCTAAAATGCATCCTGGAAATGACATTAGTGGGTGAGAATTTCACAGTTCTACATGTGATCTATCAAAGTGCCTACCTCAATGTATCCTTGACTACAAGGCTATCTTTTTTAAAGAGTGAAGGTTTCATAAACAAAAACAGTAGCTCATTTTACCTTATGTTTATTGGTCATTTCTATGATATTCTTCTGTAAATTATACAACAGTAACCTGCCCATTTTTCTGTAAAAATTTTATAAATATTTCCATTGTGATGTACACCTTTTGATCTTTTGTGTGTGTGCGTGTTTGTTTTAATGTTATGTGCACTAATCAATCTTCTGTGAATTGTTCAATTGCTTTTTCATATAGAATTTCTTGCCCTGGTTAGATTCGTTTTCCTACTTTGACGTATTTTCTTCTAGCTTTATTAGTTTCTCTTTTTTTTTGCATTTAACTTTTTGACCCATTTAGAATATATTTTGGGTGATAATGTCAGAAGAGGCTCTAACTAGATGTTGTTTTTTTACAAAATAGTCAATTTTTCCAATATCTTCTCTTGACCATCAAAGAAATGCTATTAAAGACAATTGTGCTGAAGTAACCAGCATCATCCAAAGACGTAGCTCACTGCTCACCATGCCCTTTGCTCTCCCCTCCCAGGTGAACAGGAGCCAACTGTAAGCAGTGATTCTGACATCTCCCTGATTATGGCGATGGAGGTTGGACTATCTGATGTAGAACTTTCCACTGACCAGGACTGCGAAGAGGTGAAATCGTGAAATGGCAAATATAGAAGAAAGGGATGGTAGGACCCGAGGGAGAGGGAGGGAGGAGTGCCCCGAGACTTGGACCAGGCACACACGCCTCCAGAACACCTCGGCATCTGCAGGGCGCTCTGCTCAAGAACGGTCACGAAAAGCAATATCCAAAGTCACGTTGATCGGGATGCAGTCTCTCCATCTCTACAATGGTCCACGGCCTTGGCAGCTTGGAAGTGGAAAGCTGATTTTCCCTCCCGTGTCCTTGTAGACACACACTTCAGAGGCCCCTACAACAGACTGAAAGGACACTTTTAGGGCTTCTTAGTTTTCATTTCAGTTTTTTCCCAGTCTTGTTTTCTTGTTTTGGAATTGTTGTTTGATTTCTTTGGCAGTTCCTTCTTAAAGACTGTGTATAGTTTCCTTTAGGTCCACTCCTTTATTTTTCCTTCGAATCACTCCGGCTTTTATATGGAGCTGTGTTTCCAAGCACCAGTCCCTGCTGTGATCAGTTTATATCCCATCCCGGAGATGAATGACCTTGACCTCTCAGCATGAAGTGCGCATGGCTTCGGGAGGTGCCTGGGCACCCTGAAACAGTTGAAGGCCAGCTTTCATTAGGAATCTAAATTCTTTTAAATGGATCTTTAAAATCCCAGCTGCCTGAGACCCCAACACTGAGCTCTGAATGTGCTGAGGCCACTGCTCATTAGTTTCAGCGACATCACACCGGCTTCCACTTGCCTGGCTCTGGGAAGGGCCCATGTGACATGAGAAGGAAGCTCTAGGGAGGCCCTTTAATTTGTCTGGGTCTTACAGTCCGTGGCTGAGATTCTGAACTCAGAAGTCCCCTCCAGGGCATGAAGGCCATTCTCCATGGCTGTAGGGCTCGTAGCTGGAACCACAAGCCTTGTTTTCAAACCAGGTGTCATGCATTCTTCCCGAAAGCAAAACATCTGTTGTACTGGCTTCCCCAAGGCTAGGACAGGCTTCGTTACCTCATGTGGCTTCTGCAGGAGATGGAGGCTTTAGACAAGTCCGCTTTGAGCCCAGTGTCCACAGTGCGGGTTTGACCTTAATCCCAACACACCTCTGTTACACCTCGCCAGACCTCAGGAAAGGGTTTAGGCGAATCCTTTACAGGTTGTTTCCCAGGGCTCCCCGAGTTTGTCCAGACGCCCAGTGAGGAGGAAGGTGGGAATGAACCACTTGGTCTAAAAAGCCCAGCATGGGACCTGGCTAAGTCAGGTTTTTCCTGACTTAGAGAGACAAAGAGGGAAAGGAAAAGAGGTATCTGTTTATGTTTGCATTCTTTTTTTGTAACTATGGCAGAAATGTGCTATTTTTTTCAATGGGCGATTTTATAATCCATGTAGACTCTCCTGATGCAGAGACAACTAAGGAGGTGAGCAGTCTCTGGACAGCTGCAGCACGTGTCGTCCGTAGGAGGCCGCCGTGTGGGCTGGCCAGGAGAGGGGGCCCCCTCCCTGAGTTCTCCGCACACTGATGAGGCTCCTGCCCGCACCCCACACTAACACTCACGCAAACACGGAGTTTGGCTCCGCCATGAGTCCTTGCTGCCTGCTGAAGCATGAAGTGTGCATCAAGGGACACCCCCGGGTGCTTTTTGTCACCACCTTTGACCTTTTCCTATTTGATGCTTTCTAAGTAGGCAGCGAGGCAAGGAAAACTATTGCCACCTTGTGAAATGTCCCATCTGTCTGGGAGTCCAGCACCTCCTGTACCGAAATCCAGGGAGGAATGAAGACAGGGCTGAACTAGGAATCGGGAGGCCCGGATGAGCCGCGTGCTTGCTGGGCCTCAACTTCTCCCTCTGTAAGTGCAGGAGTTTCACAGGATGGCGCCCAAGACTCCTTCTGGCCGCGGGACCAGCAGGGAGCGCTTGGCCGGGGGAGTCCGTTTTTGCGGGCAGCGATGACATGCAGCCGACTTTCTGCCTTGGAGAGGCAGAGGTGCTGGGCGTGTAGCAGAGAGCAACAGCTTTGGGGATTTGGAGCTCCTGTGTTGCCGAGAACGAGCATCTCAATGATTGAAGTTTTCAGTCCACGTTGGAGGGATTTGGTTTCACTTGTTTTCAATCCACCATTAGTCATGGTTTGCCATCTCTGGGCCCCTCAAAGCCTGGTTCTCAGCGTGCAGCTCTTAATCTCAAGGTGTTCCCTGTCTCGGTCAGAATAGGCTGCAACACCTACTCCTCCTTCTGTCAGCGTGGCCCCAAACAAATTTTGGTATTAACTTAAGTGGAATTAGAAGGATAATTCAACAGCAAAAGAAATATGCATTGCATTTCATACCCAGAGAGAAAATGCCTTGTAGCACACAGGCCTCTGTTGGACGAGGCTTCTCTCTTCCTGCCAGTGACCAGGTCCAGCAGGAATTGATTGCATGTGCCCGCAGCAGCCCCTAATGGGCACTGCGGAGATGCTGAGGGGCCCGGGAGGCTCACTGGAAGCCTGGGGACCTGACCACAAGAGGCTCTGCTGCAAACCCCCTGAGTCTACGAGGTTCTCCAGTTACCAGAGGTCTGTTTCTGGAGGATTCTCCTGTGGTTTTGGTAGCTAAAAAAAAAAAAAAAAAAATTAGGCAGCATGGAAGGATGCAAAAGAAATGGAAACAACCCTTCTCCCACAGTGTTCCTCACCACCCCCCACCAAAGACCTGGGGACCCTGTAGTAAACAGAGGGTTTCCAAAGGCTGGGGAACCCTTTAGAAGTATATGCAGATATTGCATATTTGCTGATGTGCATCTTCCTGTCGTGAGTATCTAGACCAGCTGCTGTCCAATAGAAATGCAGTGCAAGTCACACGTGTAATTTTCAGTTTTCTGCTGACCACATTAAAAAAAGTAAACACATAAAAATAATTTAATAATATATTTATTGAATCCAACATTAGTGTTTCAACACGTAATTCGTGTAAACATTTTTTTTTGTACTTAGCCTTCTTATGCTGTCCTGTGTTTTACACTCATGGCGCATCTCCATTTGGACGAGCTACCGATTGGACAGCACAGGTCTCCAGCTTCCACAATATTCTCACAAGGTTCCCTGCCCCTTACAAAGAACAAAAGTGAAAACCTAATTACCTCCCAAGAGAACCAGACTCCACCCAAGTTGCCTAACCCAAGGCCCAGAGACCCATTTGTTTTGTAATGGGTAAATGTCCAGGCCACCCTTCCTGAAATTTATGCTTGAACTTTCTAACCACACCACCAATGTCCATTACCACTTACTGTGATTCCTCTGACCAGTTGTTTTGTAGAAAGTCACACAAACCATGTTGATGTGGTGCTGAAACAAAATTATATCCCTCACTTCTATGGCAATTCCTTAGACTGATACCTGGCACTCAAGAGCCAAAGAGAATTCCACACTGCAGTCATCCAACTTGACCTCAGCCCCTAGCTGTCCTTCCTTCTGCCTGGCAGGAGGTCTTTTCCTAGTCCGGGTGGCCCCTGAAGATTTCGGAGGGAAAAGTGGGGAGTTCCGTATGGACTCCAAATACAAGACCTTGTGTGGCCTTATTGAGAAAAAGTCTTCGGGGCTTGTGACCATCTGGCCCCTACATGGTGAATTACGACTGCCTGTCAACAGCCCAGCTCTCAACACAAGTCAGCATCCTCCTTCCACCCGAGGCTGTGGGCAAGAAAAGGACCATGTCCCTTCCCTCCGAATAATTTAGAGCCACCTCTAGGAATTGCTACCTCCTGTGTGGCTGGTCCCTTTAGGAGGAACTGAGTCCTGATTATGAATTTTTATGGAGTCTCCAGGGTTTGTCACCCCTGAAATGTCAACTGCGTCATCCAGGCAGGAAGAGTGGAGAGTCTGTGAAGGGAGAAAGTTAATAGTGGCAAAGGTACCTACCTATTCTGACATCACATAGTAAGTTAGCATCATAAACATGGAGACAAGTCTTTGTCCAAAGAGGCCGTTTGTTATTTTGTCTTGTTTTCGCATTTCTCTCATTCTGGTGGAAACACCTCTGGAGGTTCACGTCTCTGGGTTTGGTCGTATGAAAAACTGTAGTGCCCCGTGGCTATTTCAGTTAATACTCTGACCTCCTGTGGCTGCCATGCTTTTAGAACCAAACATGCTGACAGAGGGCCTAGCATAGGATTCTTTCTCATTTGTGACTTTTGTTTAAATGAAAATTCTTGCAGAGCATGCAAAATAAATTGCATTTAGTTATCCATTGAGTGCTCACCTTGGCTGAACACAAAGAAACCCCATGAAATCAAACCTCTTTCAGAAAATCTGGGATATACAGGCACACCCTCTATGGAGCGAAGACCCAACCCTCTGTGGTCCCAGGGTCCCTGAGGCAATTTCCGGTAGCATTTTTTATGGGCTCTCACTTAGATCCTTTCTCTTTTCTGTCTCTATGCCTGGCTTCCTCTGACTGCCTGTTTCTTTCTTCGTACGCACACCCACAGACATTCTCCCACTTTTCAGGACAAAAACTTTGGTGGCTCTAGATCTAGAGAGTTGCTAATGTGGTTACGCTCATTAGTGTTGTTGGCGTTTTCTTATTTCATGACAACATCGATAGTTGTACTTCAGACAATAATACCCAGTTTACTCTAAAGGCAAATTAACTTCCTCCTTAAAGGAGCTAGCCCGCTTTTCACTTCTCATATCTAATTTTATCACAGCCCGTCTATAGCTATTGCCTTTTTCTCCCAGGATTCCTTGCCAGAAGAGTCTCTCTGGCAAATAATGGCAAAGAAACAACTCCAGGACGCTGTCTAGGTTTATTACCTTCCACCTCCAGCATCTGTGTGTGACCTTCCTAGGTCACCCCAGGCCCTCTGGGCTGGGGTTTCTTAGAAACATGTGTGGGCCATACTATACGTGACGGCCACTCCTGCTTGTTAACATCGTAGCACGAGAGCTTGCTCTTGGTAAGTGATAGCAGAGGCCACTTCTTTCTTAAGGCTGAAAAAGAGACACAAAGGAACCAGCCTCCTAAGGTGGGGACATGCAGTTCCTCAGGCACTGCTCTGTGTCCCAGAAGTCCTCCCTCCACACTGTTGCAGGGCCGGAACTGAGGAGTACATTTGGTGATGGCAGGTCAAGGGCGGTATGAATACTAACTACCTGGCAGGGAGTGGGAACTGAGGATGGCAGGACGTGAACATGGGTGCTCTTCCCAAATACATGCCCATCCCCTAGGTTTAGAGCCGACCTGATTCTTTCGTGCGCGTGCTTGTTATGTGTGTGTGTGAAGGAGTTAAACACTCATGATTGCAGAGAAGGTTTGGATTGCCTGGAAACTAAATTAATTCTGAGAAGCAGGTATGAGTTTCTCATCACTTACCTCTTCCCTTTTCCCACTTTTCTTCCCATCTCACAACTCCAGGCCCTTTGTCATTAGAATAATCATTTGTAAAGACCCTTAGATCAGTAGCCACAGTCCTCCACGCTGAGTCTTTTTGACAGTGCTGAATTATCACCCCAAAACTAAAGAAGGGATTTCAGATCCTAGATGAGGACCTTTAATTATCAAGCCCCTTAATTGCAAAACCTGCTTGTTTTGCAAAGAACGTGCTAAGGTCGTTCGCGTCTCTCCTTACCGCCCTCTGAACTATGCCTGCCTCGAGTGCTTCAGCGGTGGCTCTTTTTCAGGAATCTCCATGATCCAGGACCTTCTCATCTTTGTTACTATTGATGTTTGCACTTCCTACGGAGCCATTCGCTCTGTGGCCACCCGATCCATGTTTGTTGATGATATGATAAGGCGAGAATAAACATCTCTTAAGAGGTCTGCAGGTCTAAATGGAGCACAGGAGAAAGATCTGTGGAGAATGTAGGGCAACCTGAGTTACCCATAGTCACTGCTTGGCAGAGTATCTGTGGTCCTGTCATCCTGACTGAAGTAGAGGGCTTGGAGAAGAAGAGATGTGGGGACCATGTGTGCTCTATAAACCAAAGACAGCCCAGCCGGTGTGGCTCAGTGGTTGAGCATCAACCCATGAACCATGAGGTTGCTGGTTAGATTCCCGGTCAGGGCACATGCCCAGGTTGTGGGCTCGATCCCCAGTGGGGTGCGTGCAGGAAGCAAACAATCGATGATTCTCTCTCATCAATGTTCTGTCTCTCCCTCTCCCTGCCTCCCTCTCCAAAATAAAAAATAAAGTAAAAAATTAAAAAAACATTTAAAAAAACAAACAACAAAAACACACCAAAGACGGCTCACCATCCAAATAGACATGTTTCTTCCATTGACCAGTTGAATTTTCTCCTAATGTTCTCATAAAGAAAAGTGAAGGTGGGTTGTCTAGTCGAAGGAAACTGAAATCTTCAGGGGTTTTCTCTTGCAGGCTGGTGATTGACCTTGCCCTTACTAAATCCAGAAATCTGAAAAATAACGTCCTGTGGCCTTCGTACCACAGCATCTTTCAAGTCTAGTGGTTAGTGCCCCTTTTCCCTCAAAAGTTTTAGATACATTGAGCGCTTTATTCAACTCAGAATATTGTTCTCTTGGAGAACGTAATGATTTTAAATAGCCAAAGAATTTTCCTCTATAAGAGCTCGCTGATTAACATCCCACTCTTGCAAAGAAAATACCAAACTATTGCCTGTGCTAATAGAGCAGTGGAAGGAAGCCGACCAGCAGGAACTTTTCGGCCTGCGTTGGCCTTGGCATCTCTGGTACTCGCCGGTCGGTAGGATGCTGTTGGAGAGGGCAGAGCGCCCTCTGCTGCAAAGTCACCGTCATTTTAGCCAATTAATTTGACGAGTCACCATTTCATCAACAACTAGTTGTTTGCCTTTAATTATCCAGTTCCCTCAGGAGTTGAGAATTTGGTTTATCAAAAGAGAAAGGAATGTCACAAACCCTGAAAGACTGAAAGAGAACTCCACCGAAGACCTCACTGTCAGCAGCCCTTTCTTCTGCAAAATGTGGACACATCTTGTCAGCTCTGTTTGTAACTAGATGCCTCTGGCTGGAATGTTTGTACAGTTATAAGGCAGGCGCCTGATGGTTTTGTAACTTAACTTGATTCTTGTTAAATTGCAAAGGAAGATCAATAAACAGACTTCTTTCATATGAATGTAGATGGTATGAAATACTAATGTGTTTTGTACGTGTACCTAACACTATATGGACTTCCTGCTTTCACATTAGTAATCTGAAATGGTCGTACCGTTTTATAATTAGAAAGAGATGGAGGGGTGGGGGAGGGGTGGAAGGGTTGTTATTTTTATAGTGGGATGTTCCTTATATTTAGAAGACTTGAAGTAATTTTGTATTTGTAAGAAGTTACATTCCATTCATTTCCTGCAAAATAATGGGTCTTGTTCTTGAAAGTATTCACGAGCTGGGGGAATGACGATTCAAGTTTCCAGGGAAGCCTTCCAAGAAATTTAAGTGTGATGCTCACTTCTGTAGACTGCAGACCATGACCAGCAATTGCCAGTTCAATGTGAAAAGAAAAAAAAAACACAACTTATTTTAACCCCTCTGTATATAGCACGTTATTTCCACTGAAAAAGACATCTGTTACAAAGAATGAATTTCCCATTATGAAATAGTCAGATGTGGCTTCATAAATCTGTCTCCAGTAGCTCCCTACTAGCAAGGGGGGAAAAAATCCAATGGATTCATTTTTTCTTTCTAAACATGAATTGTGTGCTTTTATTGTGAAACCAATGATGTCACAGGTAGAAACTGCTTAGCTCCCCCAGGAGGTCTTTCTGTCCCGTCATTGGCAGATCACACACGAGATGGTCCCCAACCTCTCCAAATTCAGATCCTGAGACTGAGCTTCCTGGATGTATCTGCCACATGACTCAAAATCAACAAAGTTATTCCTGATGGCATTTTCATGGGTAGCTTTTAATTTGGACTTTTATTAGCTCTTAATAGCTGAAAATTTTAGTAATGGATTATGTAGCTATTTTACCCCAAACATCGTTTTCTGTACAAAGTCATGGGCATATTTAAATGATTAGTTAAGGCAGTGTAGGTTTTTTCTTCCTGTACAAATTTCTTTTTTTCTTCCTCACCTTGGGGACTTAGCTTATTCCTTCCAAAGCACTTTATATCTCGAAATACAAAGTTTTAAGAAACGATCTTTAAAGGGATTTGTCTTCTGTCAGGAGACACGGGCTTTTCTTTCGCGTGATTCTATTCTGTGTGTGCTTGGAGAGCATGGACAGTTTGTCACCTACTGGGGGTGGTGAAATGCTAAGGATGAGAGTCGGAAACATTCAAACGTACAACGTGGCTATTTTTGTTATATAGAAGACTATTGTGTAAATAAGTGCCATCGTGTTCTTATGTACTGGTAAAAAAAAAAAAAAAGCAACTCTAATGATTGGGAAAGGATTGTGAATTCCAGGAAATTTCATTGCAAATTTTTGTTTGGTTTTGTTTTTTAATAAAATGGAACCAGACGCCGGTGTTTGTGTCATCCATCTTTCCTTACTGTGTTGCCTCTTCTTGAGTTCCAGAGGGGGCCCTATGGATTTTAAAACTTGATATTTATCATGAAATCCTGATTATGGTAAAAGAATGAGAGAATTCAATAACTTTGTAATTTCTCTCAGGTAAGTCAAGTGCTAGGCACCTGACCTCCTCGTATCTTTTGTTCCTCTCTGTGAAGTGATGAAAAATTTTGAACGATTCAGAAGAATGGGGGCTAACTTAGCTGGAGGTGCCGTCCTGCGGGGACGGAGCCCTACTGTCTGAGCTGTCCGGGGCAGGTGACCCTACACAGGGTTACACCGTGGGGCCCACCAGATGGGCTGGGGTGGCCAGGTCCCTTTTTATATTTACTTGCATACCTCTAAAGGATTTTAAACAGCAGTTCTTTTGAATTAGCAAGGAAATAAAATGCTAAGGAAATATGAAAGATGGGATCTGCCAGCCTGGGAGGGAAGGAAAGGAGAGGCCCCTACTTATTGTTGACTCACTTGAAACTGCCAGCCCCTGGGTGTGGCCCGGCCAGGGTTGTGGCACAGCCCCAGCCCCTGGAGGAGCAGGGGGCTGGACGCGCCAAGTGGGGTTCAGCCGGAGAAGCCCGCCTTCCACCTGGTCGGGCGCCCTCCCCGCGGGCTGGGGCCTGCACACAACCTGCCCGCAGACCCTCAAACTGCTCCGGGTGCGGGCCTCCCGAGCTCTCCGCGCCCCGCACGGGGCTGCGGGAGGACAGTGGAAACATCAGTGCCG